ATCACCATCACCATCACCATCATCATCATCATCATCATTATTATCATTGCCTTTCTCACCCTGCACCAGGGTATAGGCCATGGACAAACACTTTCCACCTTTCTCTATCCTCTTGATGTTATTCCATGTCTTCCCCACTTTTCTGTACATCAATTTCTGTGAATCTTCCCCAGGTTCCGCGAGGTCTTCCCCTTGATCTTTTACCCTGTGGGTTCCAATCCAATACGGACTCTCTTTGCTAAGCAGCTGCCTGACTTCCCCAGAGTATGTCCAATCTATCGCCCCCGCCTTCTTCCTACCTCATCTCTGACTGGGATTTGTCTTATTTTCCTTAACACTTCCTCGTTGGTTACTCTGTCTGTCCATCTGATCCTCAATAACTTCCTTAGACACTTGTTCAAGAAGACCTGAATACTCTTTATGCAAGTCTGTGATGCGTTACATGTCTCACATCCATACAGACTGACTTCACGTTTGAATTGAAAATCCTCGGCTTATAAATAATATAGGTGCAATTTATTGTAAAAGAATGCAGTTCTTTTTCTCTTTCCAGACCGAAACATAGACATTTAAATTTGTTGGTTTTTATAACTAGGCATTAAAAAAGATCATGTCAAACACTTGGAGTGTAACGACCGACATGACAACTTGTAAATTGGGATGGCAAATAAGCAAGGATGTTTCCAGCTTTCTTATCTAAGAGTTGTTCACCTTGCCGATGAAATGTAAATGTTTGTACAAACGGGATGGATTTCATAATTGTGTTGTTTGTTTGGCGTTGAGTAAAGGTGAGTGGTGAGTGAGTGGGTGTGGGTGGGTTGGAGTGAGTAAAAACTGTATGCATAATGAAGGTGCTAGGTCCATTCCGTAAAACGACGTTAGCCTACTTTTATGCTGTGTTTGTTGTACGGGAGGAAGGAAGGGTGTAGGTTTATGAAAATGGTTGTTTTCGTGGGATGCGTTTCATGATGGTAATAACAATGAACAACAGTTGTATTGCGTTATATCCCCGTTCAACAGCAAGCTTGATGCGCTTTACAATCTATATTATTACCCCAGCAAACCCTAAAACACGTTGAAACAACAAGCTCTATCTGGTCTACAATCTATATTATTACCCCAGCTCTACAATCTATATTATTATTACCCCAGCAGACCCTAAAACAGTTTGAAACAACAAGCTCTATCTGGTCTACAATTTAATATTATTACCCCAGCAGA